TTATAACAATTAATTAATTAAATGATTTTGCAATGGGAAAAATACAAAATAAATGAAATAAAGAGAAAAAAAGGAAAGAGGACAGGAATTAACTGGAAGGGAGGGCCTGCCTATACATCCACTTTTTAGTTGGTTCTTAAAAGTACCCAGCGAGGGTGCAGATAGGTTATTCCAGAGGCGAGGAACTTTGAAGTTCAAGCAATCAGACTTGCATGTGGTGCCTTTGTTTACCTCTCAAAGCTCCTTGGATAAGGTCCTCTTGAAGGAGATCATTTTCTAATGCAGTGGTGTCAGCCTTAAGGTCTAAGGGCCTCATAAACCCATCCCTGATCCTGGAGAGCTGCATCCACTCCTATTCCCTCCTCTAAATATTTTCCTTATGAAAACACATTTTTGGTGAGGAAACCCTGGAAAATCCCTCTTTTATCCTATAATATGTATATTTAAAACTAAAAGTTGGGCATGATGAAGGGTGTGAAAACATGGCAAAATTGTCACCCACGTTCTCTAGATGGAACAAAAGGAATTTCCGAGCCTTTAAAAAAAGACAATTTGAAAAATGAGGAAGGATTGGAAGGTGCTGGGGCTCCCAGGGTGCTAGAGGTGCATTGGCCTAGCCATGTTCTAATAACATGTTAACTATACCGCCAGGTAATCTCTCTGCCAGATAAATCTCCCTGTCAGTGTGAATTGTTCAGTTCTTCCCATGCTGTGATTAGTGCACAATGGTAGTGTTGCTAGAGGGTGGGGTTGTTCCTCAGTTATGTGCTTTTCAGTATATGTTTTTCCAATCCTGATCTGGACTAGACATAAGTTAAGGCAAATATTGTGCCAGCATAACAGTAGCATCAGGCCTTTTAAAGACACTTGACACCCAGGACAATGTCCATTGGGGGGGTGTCTCTCTTTTCCACCTGCTTCTCATTGCACTATATGTCATTTTATGAGCCTCTTCCAATGTGTGAGGTTGGAAGCAATTGTCCCCTGTGTCCCCTTTAAAAAGGCTCTCTGCCTCTATGGGAGGTCAGAGTATACAATTCCTTTGCATGGCCCATTCATTTCCAGAGCTTTGAAAATGCATCTTTTAAAAACTGTAATTCCTAAAATCCTCAGGTGGCTGGGTGTTATAATAATAAAATATTTTTTTTTAAAAAACCAGTTTCTAAACTGCCTTGATTTCAGTGGAATTTGCTTCCAAGTGAATAGGTTTACAGTATCAGCTTTATGTGTCCTTGCCTGTTCTCACAGAAATCAATTTATTCCTACAGAATGTGGAATAATCTGTGGGCAAAGATAAATCTCCCTGTCAGTGTGAATTGTTTGGTTCTTCCCATGCTGTTATACCAGAAGTAAGAAAATAATACAGTGGCTTTGCAATTGGTAATCAAGTTTAATTTGGTTGCAGATTAAACATTTCTACTAAAAGATGATCATGGACATGGCTTGGACCAACCAGTTTTGTATTGAAGTCTCAAAATACTCATGTGATTACAGAGCCTCCCCCCTCAAAAAAAAAGGGGCGGAATTGGAAAAAAAACAGAAAAGGAGGAGGTCTGGTCACTTCTTTCACCTTTTTTTAAAAGTCCCCTTCCCATCTGAAACTGGTTTGGGTGATCACATAAAAATGACAAGTCATACATGTCTGTGAGTTGAGGTTTGCTACACTGGGGACCAATTTTCCTTTTCATGAACCCAGGGCT